CGAAGTGGAATTCGAGTCGAATATCTGAAAAATTTCGATTCGTGCCGAATCCGAAAAATAGCCTAATTCGGACGCGCGAATCGAAATTTTTCAGAAAATGGCGGCTGACATGTGCGGCGACGGAGCGGGGATGTCTGGGAAGGCGCGCAGACAAGGCGCGCTGACCCATAATGCATGCCTCAACTACATGTGATCGCATCAGCCTATCAGCAGCCAGCCAGCCAGCACTGTGTAATGGTCGAGCTATAAATAGCGGCCATTTTGGAATTCTTCATTTGCCTGCAGTTATTGAACAGAGGCAGACCGCTCTGTACTAGGGACAGGGACAGAGTTAGGGCCACAGAAACGATAATTGGGGACAGAGAAAAGTTACTTAGGGACAGAGAACCATTACTCAGGGACACAGACTTGTTAATGAGGGCCACAGAATCGTTATTTAGGGACAAAGAAACGCTAGTTAGGGCCACAGAATTCATAAATCAGGGACAGACAGAATTGTTACTCAGTGCCAGAGAATTGTTACTTAGGGCCACAGAAACGTTATATTAGGGCCACAGAATTGTTACTCAGGGGACAGACAGAATTGTTACTGAGTGCCAGAGAATTGTTACTCAGGGACAGACAGAATTGTTACTGAGTGCCAGAGAATTGTTACTTAGGGCGACAGAAACTTTAATTAGGGCCACAGAATTTTTACTCAGGGACAGACAGAATTGTTACTGGAGTGCCAGAGAATTGTTACTCAGGGACAGACAGAATTGTTACTGAGTGCCAGAGAATTGTTACTTAGGGCCACAGAAACTTTACTTAGGGCCACAGAATTGTTTATCTACCTGCACAGACACAGAATTGTTACTCGCACAGACACAGAACTGTTACTGAGGGCCACAGAACTGTTACTTAGGGACAAAGAAACGCTAGTTAGGGCCACAGAATTGTTACTCAGGACAGACAGAATTGTTACTGAGTGCCAGAGAAATTGTTACTCAGGGACAGACAGAATTGTTACTGAGTGCCAGAGAATTGTTACTTAGGGCCACAGAAACTTTAATTAGGGGCCACAGAATTTTTACTCAGGGACAGACAGAATTGTTACTCAGTGCCAGAGAATTGTTACTCAGGGACAGACAGAATTGTTACTGAGTGCCAGAGAATTGTTACTCAGGGCCACAGAAACTTTACTTAGGGCCACAGAATTTTTACTCAGGGACAGACAGAATTGTTACTGAGTGCCAGAGAATTGTTACTCAGGGACAGACAGAATTGTTACTGAGTGCCAGAGAATTGTTACTTTATAGGCCACAGAAACTTTACTTAGGGCCACAGAATTGTTACTCTCGCACAGACACAGAATTGTTACTCGCACAGACACAGAATTGTTACTCGCACAGACACAGAACTGTTACTGAGGGCCACAGAACTGTTACTTAGGGACAAAGAAACGCTAGTTAGGGCCACAGAATTCATACTCAGGGACAGACAGAATGTTACGGAGTGCCAGAGAATTGTTACTCAGGGACAGACAGAATTGTTACGGAGTGCCAGAGAATTGTTACTCAGGGACAGACAGAATTGTTACTGAGTGCCAGAGAATTGTTACTTAGGGCCACAGAAACTTTAATTAGGGCCACAGAATTTTTTACTCAGGATAGACAGAATTGTTACTGAGTGCCAGAGAATTTTTTACTCAGGGACAGACAGAATTGTTACGAGTGCCAGAGAATTGTTACTCAGGGACAGACAGAATTGTTACTTAGAGTGCCAGAGAATTGTTTACTTAGGGCCACAGAAACTTTAATAGGACAGAATTGTTACAGGGCCACAGAATTTTTACTCAGGGACAGACAGAATTGTTACTGAGTGCCAGAGAATTGTTACTCAGGGACAGACAGAATTGTTACCGAGTGCCAGAGAATTGTTACTCAGGACAGACAGAATTGTTACTGAGTGCCAGAGAATTGTTACTTAGGGCCACAGAAACTTTAATTAGGGCCACAGAATTGTTTTTTACTCAGGGACAGACAGAATTGTTTACTGAGTGCCAGAGAATTGTTACTCAGGGACAGACAGAATTGTTACCGAGTGCCAGAGAATTGTTACTCAGGGACAGACAGAATTGTTACTGAGTGCCAGAGAATTGTTACTTAGGGCCACAGAAACTTTAATTAGGGCCACAGAATTTTTACTCAGGGACAGACAGAATTGTTACGGAGTGCCAGAGAATTGTTACTCAGGGACAGACAGAATTGTTACGGAGTGCCAGAGAATTGTTACTCAGGGCCACAGAAACTTTACTTAGGGCCACAGAATTTTTACTCAGGGACAGACAGAATTGTTACTGAGTGCCAGAGAATTGTTACTCAGGGACAGACAGAATTGTTACGGAGTGCCAGAGAATTGTTACTCAGGGACAGACAGAATTGTTACTGAGTGCCAGAGAATTGTTACTTAGGGCCACAGAAACTTTAATTAGGGCCACAGAAATTTTTACTCAGGGACAGACAGAATTGTTACTGAGTGCCAGAGAATTGTTACTCAGGGACAGACAGAATTGTTACGCGAGTGCCAGAGAATTGTTACTCAGGGACAGACAGAATTGTTACTGAGTGCCAGAGAATTGTTACTTAGGGCCACAGAAACTTTAATTAGGGCCACAGAATTTTTACTCAGGGACAGACAGAATTGTTACGGAGTGCCAGAGAATTGTTACTCAGGGACAGACAGAATTGTTACGGAGTGCCAGAGAATTGTACTTACTCAGGGCCACAGAAACTTTACTTAGGGCCACAGAATTTTTACTCAGGGACAGACAGAATTGTTACTGAGTGCCAGAGAATTGTTACTCAGGGACAGACAGAATTGTTACGGAGTGCCAGAGAATTGTTACTCAGGGACAGACAGAATTGTTACTGAGTGCCAGAGAATTGTTACTTAGGGCCACAGACAACTTTAATTAGGGCCACAGAATTTTTACTCAGGGACAGACAGAATTGTTACTGAGTGCCAGAGAATTGTTACTCAGGGACCAGACAGAATTGTTACGGAGTGCCAGAGAATTGTTACTCAGGGCCACAGAAACTTTACTTAGGGCCAGAGAATTTTTACTCAGGGACAGACAGAATTGTTACTGAGTGCCAGAGAATTGTTACTCAGGGACAGACAGAATTGTTACGGAGTGCCAGAGAATTGTTACTTAGGGCCACAGAAACTTTAATTAGGGCCACAGAATTTTTACTCAGGGACAGACAGAATTGTTACTGAGTGCCAGAGAATTGTTACTCAGGGACAGACAGAATTGTTACGGAGTGCCAGAGAATTGTTACTCAGGGCCACAGAAACTTTACTTATAGGCCAGAGAATTTTTACTCAGGGACAGACAGAATTGTTACTGAGTGCCAGAGAATTGTTTTACTCAGGGACAGACAGAATTGTTACGGAGTGCCAGATAATTGTTACTCAGGGCCCCAGAAACTTTACTTAGGGCCACAGAATTTTTACTCAGGGACAGACAGAATTGTTACTGAGTGCCAGAGAATTGTTACTCAGGGACAGACAGAATTGTTACTGAGTGCCAGAGAATTGTTACTTAGGGCCACAGAAACTTTACTTAGGGCCACAGAATTGTTTCTCGCACAGACACAGAATTGTTACTCGCACAGACACAGAATTTGTTACTGAGGGCCACAGAACTGTTACTTGTTAACTTGGGCCACAGAAACGTTAATCAGGGACACAGAATTGTTACTGAGGGCCACAGAACTGTTACTTAGGGCCACAGAATTGTTACTCGCACAGACACAGAATTGTTACTCAGGGACACAGAAATGTTACTCAGGGACACATAATCGTTTAATTAAAGAGTATGTCAGACAACATGCAGAGGAGTGGCAGAGGAGGCAATGTTTTAGGAGCGAGCAGACGTGGCAGCAGAGGAAGGGGTCGAGGCAGCACTATTCGCAGCCAGAGGCCAGTGCTCCCGGTGTCATCCAGCGGTCGTGTCTCCACCGACAACCCTGCCGTCGTCGATTGGTTGCTCGGTCGTCTTCCTCTTCCCAGGTCACCTCTGACACCTACAGCCAACGGTCGGTGGGTACGTCAGACACAACCGTTAGTTGGCATGGCCCGGGACCAAGCCCACTGAAATCACGTGACCTCTTAACCTGCCCCTGTCCTTTGGTGTTCCCTCACCAAGCGAAGTATCGCATGCTGTGGGCTCAGCCCCACTGTACAGTGAGGAAGAGCCTCCTAACAGAGGGCGGTCAGGAACGGGGGGAGACATCCGCCTTTTTCAGCAGCCAGGCGAAGAAGTAGTGGCGAGGAGAGTGGCTCGGTAGCTGCGGTCTAGAGACAGGTCTGTCTCCTGACCCAGACGCAGCCGAGGGGGCTAGTAGTGAGCAGGGAGACCCTACTTGATGATGAGGAGGTTGATCGCACTTGGCAGCCTCGTCGTCATCAGGCAATTTCTTCCGCATCATCAGGAGAAGAGGGTGGCAGCTTGGCAGCGAGCAAAACAGTCGGTGGGTTGCCCCCAGGGAAGACAGCAGCAGGGTCGCAGCAGTGTCAGTGGAGCCAAACAGCCATGGAGTAGAGCACCAGCTCCACTGCAGCCTACCACCACGGCCAGTAGTGGTGCCGGTGTGCACGGAGGAAGCAGCAGTCAGCCAGTGAGGAGTATCGGGGGCAAAGTTTCACTACTCGGTGTGTGGCAATTTTTCGTCAAGCCGCCCGAGGAAGTAAACGTAGCCGTATGTCGACTATGTGGCCAGAAAGTCAAGCGTGGCCAGGGGGCCCATGTTGGGACTATTTGGGCCATGTTGGGACAATGGGAGACCTCCCATTGCTGCTGTCTCCATCGCCACACTCTGCCATGTGCCACTTTCAGGTCTCCTCACACACTGCTGGTGTGTTGAATTTTTTGACATAGGGTGCTGGCAGATTACGGGCCTCCCATAGCTGCTGCCAGGCCCCTAATCTGCCATAGGCCCCTAAATACCGCCTCCTCATGCTGCTGCCAAGTCCAGAGTCTGTCATGGGTCCCTGTACGGCCTCCCATTGCTGCTGTCTCCATCGCCACACTCTGCCATGTGCCACTTTCAGGTCTCCTCACACACTGCTGGTGTGTTGAATTTTTTGACATAGGGTCTGGCAGATTACGGGCCTCCCATAGCTGCTGCCAGCCCCCTAATCTGCCATAGGCCCCCTATATACCGCCTCCTCATGCTGCTGCCAAGTCCAGAGTCTGTCATGGGTCCCTGTACGGCCTCCCATTGCTGCTGTCTCCATCGCCACACTCTGCCATGTGCCACTTTTTCAGGTCTCCTCACACACTGCTGGTGTGTTGAATTTTTTTTTTGACATAGGGTGCTGGCAGATTACGGGCCTCCCATAGCTGCTGCCAGGCCCCTAATCTGCCATAGGCCCCTATATACCGCCTCCTCATGCTGCTGCCAAGTCCAGAGTCTGTCATGGGTCCCTGTACGGCCTCCCATTGCTGCTGTCTCCATCGCCACACTCTGCCATGTGCCACTTTCAGGTCTCCTCACACACTGCTGGTGTGTTGAATTTTTTGACATAGGGTGCTGGCAGATTACGGGCCTCCCATAGCTGCTGCCAGGCCCTAATCTGCCATAGGCCCCTATATACCGCCTCCTCATGCTGCTGCCAAGTCCAGAGTCTGTCATGGGTCCCTGTACGGCCTCCCATTGCTGCTGTCTCCATCGCCACACTCTGCCATGTGCCACTTTCAGGTCTCCCTCACACTGCTGGTGTGTTGAATTTTTTGACATAGGGTGCTGGCAGATTAAGGGCCTCCCATAGCTGCTGCCAGGCCCCTAATCTGCCATAGGCCCCTATATACCGCCTCCTCATGCTGCTGCCAGGTCCAGAGTCTCTCATGGGTCCCTGTACGGCCTCCCATTGCTGCTGTCTCCATCGCCACACTCTGCCATGTGCCACTTTCAGGTCTCCTCACACACTGCTGGTGTGTAGAATTTTTTGACATAGGTGTGCTGGCAGATTATGGGCCTCCCATAGCTGCTGCCAGGCCCCTAATCTGCCATAGGGCCCCTATATACCCCGCCTCCTCAGCTGCTGCCAGTCCAGAGTCTGTCTCATGGGTCCCTGTACGGCCTCCCATTGCTGCTGTCTCCATCGCCACACTCTGCCATGTGCCACTTTCAGGTCTCCTCACACACTGCTGGTGTGTTGAATTTTTTGACATAGGGTGCTGGCAGATTACGGGCCTCCCATAGCTGCTGCCAGGCCCCTAATCTGCCATAGGCCCCTATATACCGCCTCCTCATGCTGCTGCCAGGTCCAGAGTCTGTCATGGGTCCCTGTACGGCCTCCCATTGCTGCTGTCTCCATCGCCACACTCTGCCATGTGCCACTTTCAGGTCTCCTCACACACTGCTGGTGTGTTAGAATTTTTTGACATAGGGTGCTGGCAGATTACGGGCCTCCCATAGCTGCTGCCAGGCCCCTAATCTGCCATAGGCCCCTATATACCGCCTCCTCATGCTGCTGCCAGGTCCAGAGTCTGTCATGGGTCCCTGTACGGCCTCCATTGCTGCTGTCTCCATCGCCACACACTCTGCCATGTGCCACTTTCAGGTCTCCTCACACTGCTGGTGTGTAGAATTTTTTGACATAGGGTGCTGGCAGATTGGGCCTCCCATAGCTGCTGCCAGGCCCCTAATCTGCCATAGGCCCCTATATACCGCCTCCTCATGCTGCTGCCAGGTCCAGAGTCTCTCATGGGTCCCTGTACGGCCTCCCATTGCTGCTGTCTCCATCGCCACACTCTGCCATGTGCCACTTTCAGGTCTCCTCACACACTGCTGGTGTGTAGAATTTTTTGACATAGGGTGCTGGCAGATTATGGGCCTCCCATAGCTGCTGCCAGGCCCCTAATCTGCCATAGGCCCCTATATACCGCCTCCTCATGCTGCTGCCAGGTCCAGAGTCTGTCATGGGTCCCTGTACGGCCTCCCATTGCTGCTGTCTCCATCGCCACACTCTGCCATGTGCCACTTTCAGGTCTCCTCACACACTGCTGGTGTGTAGAATTTTTTGACATAGGGTGCTGGCAGATTACGGGCCTCCCATAGCTGCTGCCAGGCCCCTAATCTGCCATAGGCCCCTATATACCGCCTCCTCATGCTGCTGCCAGGTCCAGAGTCTGTCATGGGTCCCTGTACGGCCTCCCATTGCTGCTGTCTCCATCGCCACACTCTGCCATGTGCCACTTTCAGGTCTCCTCCTCACACACTGCTGGTGTGTTGAATTTTTTGACATAGGGTGCTGGCAGATTACGGGCCTCCCATAGCTGCTGCCAGGCCCCTAATCTGCCATAGGCCCCTATATACCGCCTCCTCATGCTGCTGCCAAGTCCAGAGTCTCTCATGGGTCCCTGTACGGCCTCCCATTGCTGCTGTCTCCATCGCCACACTCTGCCATGTGCCACTTTCAGGTCTCCTCACACACTGCTGGTGTGTAGAATTTTTTGACATAGGGTGCTGGCAGATTACGGGCCTCCCATAGCTGCTGCCAGGCCCCTAATCTGCCATAGGGCCCCTATATACCGCCTCCTCATGCTGCTGCCAGGTCCAGAGTCTGTCATGGGTCCCTGTACGGCCTCCCATTGCTGCTGTCTCCATCGCCACACTCTGCCATGTGCCACTTTCAGGTCTCCTCACACACTGCTGGTGTGTAGAATTTTTTGACATAGGGTGCTGGCAGATTACGGGCCTCCCATAGCTGCTGCCAGGCCCCTAATCTGCCATAGGCCCCTATATACCGCCCTCCTCATGCTGCTGCCAGGTCCAGAGCTGTCATGGGTCCCTGTACGGCCTCCCATTGCTGCTGTCTCATCGCCACACTCTGCCATGTGCCACTTTCAGGTCTCCTCACACTGCTGGTGTGTAGAATTTTTTGACATAGGGTGCTGGCAGATTAAGGGCCTCCCATAGCTGCTGCCAGGCCCCTAATCTGCCATAGGCCCCTATATACCGCCTCCTCATGCTGCTGCCAGGTCCAGAGTCTGTCATGGGGTCCCTGTACGGCCTCCCATTGCTGCTGTCTCCATCGCCACACTCTGCCATGTGCCACTTTCAGGTCTCCTCACACACTGCTGGTGTGTTGAATTTTTTGACATAGGGTGCTGGCAGATTATGGGCCTCCTATAGCTGCTGCCAGGCCCCTAATCTGCCATAGGCCCCTATATACCGCTTCCTCATGCTGCTGCCAGGTCCAGAGTCTCTCATGCCATGTGCCACTTTCAGGTCCACTTTCCTCACACACTGGTGTGTAGAATTTTTTTGACATAGGGTGCTGGCAGATTATGGGCCTCCTATAGCTGCTGCCAGGCCCCTAATCTGCCATAGGCCCCCCTATATACCGCCTCCTCATGCTGCTGCCAGGTCCAGAGTCTGTCATGGGTCCCTGTACGGCCTCCCATTGCTGCTGTCTCCATCGCCACACTCTGCCATGTGCCACTTTCAGGTCTCCTCACACACTGCTGGTGTGTTGAATTTTTTGACATAGGGTGCTGGCAGATTACGGGCCTCCCATAGCTGCTGCCAGGCCCTAATCTGCCATGGGCCCCTATACCGACTCCTCATGCTGTGACGTTGCAACAAGGTGGAATTCAACCCTACATATGTTAGACCGCCTTTACGAACAGCAAAAGGCCATCACAGATTTCCTGATGTTAAAAAGCGGATAAAGGTATTCCCTGTGTAACTTAGATGTCATTGGCAGCTCATGCGTGACACCTGCGCTTGCTCAGGCCCTTTGAGGAGGCCACGCTATTCGTGAGTCGGCAGGACTATGGGATGAACGACGTCATTCCTCTGTTGCACGTCCTGGAACAAATGCTGTTAACAATGGCTGGTCAGGGTGCGGTAGACGTGGCGCACAGATCTCAACGCCACATGACCCCTGTGGGGGCAGGACAGGAAGAAGAGAGGAGGAGGTAGAGGAGGACATTGGTGCTCAGGAATTATTGAGTGAAATGGGTGGGTTTTTCCACTCAGCGGACAGGAGTGGAGGAGCAGGAGCATCTGGTAGAGGAGGAGGAGGAGGAGACAGAGGACCCAGACGCACCGTGGCAGTATGCTGTGGAGATGGAGGCAGGGAGTCCCTCGCATTCCTTGGCACAAATGGCCCATAGCATGCTCGGTTGCTTGCGTAGCGACAGCCGAATAATAACCATCAGACAGAGGGATGACTTTTGGCTGTCCACCTTGTTGGACCCTCGCTACCGTTCAAAAATGGTGGCCTTTTTCACACCTGCTGAGAGGGAGGCCAAAATAACGTACTATAAAAAACCACCTATGTAGTCAGCTGGTCTCTGCCTGTCTGCGCCAACGTCCATCCTCAGACACTGTGGGCCCTGTGCGCTCGCGTTCCGCTGCCATGGCAGCAGGGGAGGGGTGGGGTGGTAGGAGCAGTGGCAGCTCCACCAGCAGCGGCTGCCTCAGTCTGCAGTCGATGATGAGTAGCTTTCTTCACCAGCGCAGTGAGGAAACTACTAACCAGCCGCAGCAGCAGCAGCAGCAGCAGCATCAGGTGGACCTGGAGCAGGAGCAGGACCTCAAACAACAGGCTTAGGCCTACTTGGACAGCACCCTGCCAACCGAGGTAGACAATCCCCTTGACTACTGGGCAACGAAACTTGACCTTTGGCCCCAACTAGCTGAATTTGCCCTTGAAAGGCTGTCATGCCCGGCCAGTAGCGTGGCATCGGAGCGCGTGTTTAGTGCGGCAGGAGGTATTGCAACTCCGCGGAGGACACGACTGTCCACCCAAAGTGTGGAGAGACTGACGTTTGTGAAAATGAATCAGGCGTGGATTAGTCTGGATTTCAAACCACCAGTTCCTGACACAACTGACTAAATCCGCCATGAATCATGCCCCAAACATGTGCCACTTTCAGGTCTCCTCACACTGCTGGTGTGTTCCATTTTTTGTCATAGGGTGCTGGCAGATTACGGGCCTCCCATAGCTGCTGCCAGGCCCCTAATCTGCCATGGGCCCCTATACCGCCTCCTCATGCTGCTGCTGCCAAGTCCAGAGTCTCTCATGGGTCCCTGTACGGCCTCCCATTGCTGCTGTCTCCATCGCCACACTCTGCCATGTGCCACTTTCAGGTCTCCTCACACTGCTGGTGTATTCCATTTTTTGTCATAGGGTGCTGGCAGATTACGGGCCTCCCATAGCTGCTGCCAGGCCCCTAATCTGCCATGGGCCCCTATACCGCCTCCTCATGCTGCTGCCAGGTCCAGAGTGTGTCATGGGTCCCTGTACGGCCTCCCATTGCTGCTGTCTCCATCGCCACACTCTGCCATGTGCCACTTTCAGGTCTCCTCACACACTGCTGGTGGGTTCCATTTTTTGTCATAGGGTGCTGGCAGATTACGGGCCTCCCATAGCTGCTGCCAGGCCCCTAATCTGCCATGGGCCCCCGTACCGACTCCTCATGCTGCTGCCAGGCCCGTAATCTGTCATGGGCCCCTGTTGTCGCTTGTTGGCATATTCCGCTCGTTCAGATGCTCCTTCTCCTGCTACTC